AGTTATTGGGTTTGTATTATTGGTTTGGTCCAAGCCCATCATTGGTAAGGTTATGCTTTTACTATTTATATGATTTTCAGTTGTAATTTCAGTAGACGATGATAAATTAGAATTGAAATATTGTTTGGCGTGCAGCCGTTTTCTCCCTCCCCTCTCTTCCCCTGGTTTCTTCTCCTCTTATCCCTTCTCTCTGTTTCTCCTTCCCGTTCCTTCTTCTTCTCCCCTAGTCTCTCAACTTCTTCCTGGCTACTTCTTCTTATTGGAATCCAATCTATCCTACATCAATATCTCTTTAGAAATATGCATCCACAGAACATATTATTTTCTTTCACAATGAATAAAGCCATATGTCAGAGCATCTTACAAGAAAGAGTCAAAAGGATGTCTAGACCCTGGAAGTTCTTACATGTTTCAGATAAAATATTAGCTGGAATTATAATAGTAAAACTCGATGTCCTATAGATATACAAACATTTTAGACGTTTTCTTCTAATTGATTTACAAGTAACACATCAAATTCCATGAGATGGCATGTTTAGAAACGTATAATAACTAGACTTTATTCTATAAATTACTTTCGACCGAATACATATATACAACATAATGAGAACCAAAAGTAATGTTGGAAACCTAAGCTCTGCTGAAATGACAGGAAACATGAAGGCCACATAATGGCTCATGATGGGCAGTTTTGCTACAATCTCAAAATAAACAGTTGACAGATAAAATTATTAATTTACACATTTAAGAAATAATAGGTTAATAAAACAGTATTCATTAACCACCATTGTTTTTAAAGATAACCTGTAGTCTTTTCATCTTCCCCCCGGTAGTCAATTTAGACCCTTCTAGTATGCAATATTGGCATACGACCAGAAGTTTATTTTTCAAGTTCTCTTTCTCACCAACTCCTCTGCCATTATCCTATACATGTCAACAGACTCATAGCTTTTTTCATTTCAGTTCAAAAGATAAATCCCACTTTGCTCCCAAGATACACTGATCCATCTTGATTCACTACTAGTAATGATTTGCAGATTACTATAACTTCTATGCTGTCATGCAAAACGTATCCAACTCCCACACTGCAAACATGAACTGAGCTATTTTTCTCTCATTTTCTTTTGTAACTTTATCAAGACCATTCCAGAACAATTCAAAATGGTAATCCAACACCGTTCCACCATTGGACTTGACTATTAATAGTTATTGGCATAACCTATCTACTCTAAATTATCGAAAAAATACCTACCTCCAATACCATAAACAACCATCAAAGCCAGGATCTTTCTGTTGCATAATACTTTTGTTGACCATCTCATGGCAAATATGTTTTGATAACAACAATGTTCCATAATTTCAATTCTCATTGGAAAAGGAAGCTTCAAGCTCATATTGATCATGGGTTGCCAAGGGCAGGAGATGCTAATAAGAGGTATGCTCATCCAGAGAATAATTCACTACTGTAGTACTGTTTGCTACTCAAATTCTCCAATTGGTTTACTTAGTTGATTGGTTTTGATTTTAATAGGACCATTCACCATAGCCATGCACATTAGTCCTAGGACAACCAAAAAAAAAAAAAAAAACCCATGCTTATATATGTAGCCTGACGGCAGCCAAACAGGCTTCTATACCTCAGTGCATTATTGCAACCTATGATAATTGAAAGCTTCAAATTCTTATATATTGGTTGATGATTATTTAGATTTAAAGAGTTAGAATTTGCCAACCCGAAAAAAGTAGCAAGTTCGCAGTCAACATCCATGGAGACTCAATAGCCCAAATTCTATTATCGAACTTCCAATTCAAAGATGAAAAAATGTCAACTCTAATTGGATTTCGCAGGCACCAAATCATCCTTAGAGCTAAATGACCTAGTGTATGTGACCTTTCTTTCAACCTCAACTTCCTATATTTGAATGAAGTCTGCCTTCGATCTATGCATGTGGCTTTGACCGAGTAGTTAACAAATAAGCATGATTAGCTTGTATTCTATATAAGTTTCTTCTCCCGGCTTCATCTGCACCCCTACCCACACAGAAAATCATTTTGCATATTGTTCTCTTTCTACTAATTTAAGAGTATTCACTGATTTCAAGGGTTCGTCCTACTGGAGCAAGAATTTTTAAGGTCGTTTATGTGTAACTCATAGTTGAAACAGACATTTTAAATCAAAGCAGCGAAAATCACCACTAATTCTCTGTTTTTTAATTCCAAATGGCCTCACAAAATAACTACCTAGTAAAAGAACTAAAAGGAGCAATATACACCTCTGTCAAGCACTTGGTGAAATAGACTGGATGGATCCAGGATGAATTTTCCGGCATTCCCCAATCAACTCGGGCATCAGACGTTTCAGAATACTCAACCTGATAGAATGAAAGGCCATAAAATGTAAGTTAAAATGGAAACTGATAGTCTAGAGTAAGATCAACAGATGAAGAATGGTAAAACAATATTTGCTCACTTTGAAGTCATCATCATCGAAAAGAATATCATCATTGAAGTCGGCCTCCAAACTTTTGTCATCAAATACATCTATCTTTCTGTTCTCGTATTGCAAAAGATCCATCCCAATCAGTACATTCTAACGACATGCAAGTGATACCAATTGTCACCTCATATTTCATATAGAACTATACAGTTCAAAGAACACAAAATGATATCTTTATTATGAAATTTAATATACAGTTGGTATCAAGAGGCAGGTGGGACAACATTCTACATGATCTTTAGTCTATTTGTTTGCAGTAGATGAACACCGAAAAAATAGTAATGGTTTGTCTTGTCCGGATAAGCATTGCTCCAAACAACATTTGACAGAAAAATCCTCTCTTGTTTCCTCAAGTATTAAGTTAGATCACTACTTTCTATTAAAATTAGCAGGTTAAAATATACTTATACTAAACCTTTAAAGTTATCACAGTAGGAAAGTGACCAATGAACTACATTTTTCAGACAAAAGGAAGTAGGTAATCATCAAGATTAATTCCTTACCACAGGGTTACTTGTTTCTCGATATTGCAGGATGTTTTCACCATCAAAAATTTCAAAAAAAATATCTGAAATAAATAGAAAAATGTGATCAAGATTAAAACATTGATAACTTTATGTCACAAGCAAAATTATGATGAATACAAAAGGAGAGAGAATCCAAACCTCCAAACTCATCTATAACATATTCAAATTCAGCCCACGAGATATGTTCATGTGGTTCACAGTGCACAATACCAGGGAATATCAACAAAGCAGTGCTGTTAGCCTAGGAGAAAACAGGTTCAGGTCATGTACCCAGGCAAAGGAAAAGGACAGATTATCCTAACTACATAGATCAAGCACAACAACATATCTCAACTAATGAACTATTTTAGAATTTGGCTAGAAAATTGGATTTTGTATTTAAAATATACAATTTATGGAAAGGGTAAAACCTCCACAGCAGTCCTTGCTATTTCAGCAGAGGTGAGCCTTTTATCCCGAACTCGTCTGCAATCTCTCAGTTCTTCAAGAGGGTGATAACCTTTATTAGCAACATAATTAGAGGAATCCGGAACGGAATCTGAATAATCAGCAGCAACAGAAACTCGTGAAATTGAACTATCATGTCCTATAGGGAACCAGTTGAATAGTGTCGCTCCAAAGAATGCATTTTCGCATCTGAAACTTCATGCAGAGGAATGACAATTATTTCATTGATGGTCCAATTTCAAAAGGAACAACTGAAGAAGAGCGACTAAAAAAAGAATAAAGAAAGAAAGAAGAATAAGGGACTTCAAGCTATTGTTGGATAGTAGAAAAGGGACAGAAAATGAGCAAAAACCATCTACTTTTTCTAATCCTCATGTATGGTTGGAAGGAAAGTCGCACCTACTAGCAAGAAAAATTGTGCTCCCACAAAAAGAGCAGGGATTCATGGGGAGGGAGAGCTATTCTTATATTCTTAGTTCAAACAATACAGGAGCAAAAAGTGTTTTTATTTTTATTTTTTTATCTTTTAATTTGTTTCACTGAACCTCTCGTGGGGTGTAATTGTCACTCAAATGGAGCTCTAATGCATGATATGCTGTTCAAACAAGTCACAACTGTTTTATGATTGATAGTCCCCTCTCAAACCCCTGTTCTCCTTTCTTCCCCACCCTGACCCCCGCAAGAAAAAGAAAACATATGCTTCCTTCTCTTTTGTGAAAGAAAATAAGGTTGCTAGGGATCTAAATATATTGGGTCTTCCAATAGATATATCAATGGACTGAATGAAATGGCAAAAAAGGATTCACGTAGTAAACTTTAAATTTATTGGGAATACAGCTAATACATTGGCAAGAGGCATAAAGAGAGAAGCATAAAATCAAGTGCATAGAGAGAGAAGATGGAGGAGGACTAATCATTTCCCCAATCATTGGTCACTAAACCTGGCAGTAATTGAGCTGAAGCAATCCCTTGCTCAGACCACACACAAATATATAGGATTTCTATCAGTTACTAGTATTTGTAACGTATAGAACCAATTTAAGTGATTGAATATAAAAATTTGTGCTGCTTCCATTAGCAAAACTACATATCTTCAGCATGAAAAGGGAAGAAAATTATCAATAGCGCTTAGAGAAACCCCGTACAATCTTCTCTTTCCACGTGGCAAGTGAAGAATTTTTGAAGTGTAATCACCATACACACACAAATATATAGGATTTCTATCAGTTACTAGTATTTGTAACGTATAGAACCAATTTAAGTGATTGAATATAAAAATTTGAGCTGCTTCCATTAGCAAAACTACATATCTTCAGCATGAAAAGGGAAGAAAATTATCAATAGCGCTTAGAGAAACCCCGTACAATCTTCTCTTTCCACGTGGCAAGTGAAGAATTTTTGAAGTGTAATCACCATATGTGTAGAAATTCACAAGTAGCAAAGTTGTACCTCAAAGCTGAATGCTCAGAAACTTTTTGAAGCTCGAATGATGGTTTAATCCAACTGGCGGGGACTCCATATGATGTAGAACAACTAAATGGTATGGATTGACAAATATGGCAGTGGAAAGGACCTGAACCACATAGCAAAAGAGAAGACAAATGAGAAAAAGAAGAGAAAAGAGACAAGAACCATAGAGAAGCGAAAAATTCACAGTGGTATCTGAATCTTTAATCTGAATGTTTATCGTCTATCGACACATAAGCAGTCCCATTCTATCTGTATATGAGACTACATTGAGTGATAAGTACATCATACAAAAACCATTAGGCCAATAAAAATCAAATCGTTCTCTAAAGTATGTGCTGGACACACTACACCATTTCATATAAGAAGCAGATTGATTTTAAAGCATAAAGACGGAAGTGCTTATGAACGATAACAGAAGTGAATGTTGGAGTGTCTCGTGTCATGAAAAAATAAAATATTTCGTAAAGATAAAAAAAATCAATAACTAAAGATTAATTGACCATAGCTCACAAGCTTTCCAAAATGAAATAAAAATATTGGACTAGCTTCTAGAAAGAAATGAAAAAATTGAGCAGCAGGAAACACCATATACCACCCAACATTCCAAACCACACCTGTGCTAATCAAGTTTCAAAGTAACAAAACCACCATTACTCTCAGAACCCTTCACAAACACGGGCGCATAAAGCTCAACGAGAACATACCCATAAACAAAATAATGTTTAACCTTGTTACAGGTTTTGTTTCCAAAGTAGATAGCCATAAAGTTGGTGTGGACGCATTCAGGAATTTGAACACATTTAGAAACACGGAATTGTAACTTTATTGATGCTTAAGGTTAGTATAAAAATTTAAAAGTTGTAGACCAAATAATAGGACACACAACTTCAAAGTTCTACTTATTCTATGAACAAAGAAAAGTAAAAATTATGTCAACCAGTTGGCAAAATCATAATTTGGGTTCTGAAAAAGCCAACAAGTTGTCATTTTCAAAATTGACATTTTCTAACTAAAGAATGGCTTTCTTCATCAAAAAAGAATATCTTACATGCTAAATGCCCCTGCAAGATGGTGTAAATGTGTTCATTGAGTTTTGATCAGATTGAATTGTTCATTTGAGGGCTCTGATACAATAACAACACTAAAGGTTTCATCTAAAAGGGTAGAGCTAAATCTTAACTAGAGTAGCAGGCCTTATCTCTTATGACATTGCACTGCAAAATTAGAAGAAGAACAAAAGAAAGAAAAATGTGAGAAACCGAGCAGTCATTGTACCAATAAATAAATCGGAAATTAGTAGAGAAAACTGTGAAAGTTGACGGATTAAATTCAAATAAGAACGCATGATTGAACAGGAAAAAGAAATTAGAATAACCACGGTAAGACTGGAACAGAAAGAATGTGTACGATTAGGCCACTCATTGGAATTGCAAACACAACACAAGCACAGTAAAGAAGAAAAGGGCAGAGCCACTGATCTCGACCAACTTACCGTTGATCAAGATCATTCTTAACAAGATTAAATTGATCGTTTTATTCACAAAACAGATTATCGTAGTTACTCTCCAAAAATCCACCGC